CCAAATAAGTTCTTTTATTTTCTTTACATTGTAAGCATATCCCAAATTTTAAAAAACTATTTTAAAAGTTAGTATTTTCTTTCATTGAACGCAGTCAGTATAACAGCCTAAATTATTACTTTTGGATCCTAATATTAAGAATGTATGGATTGAGTTAATAGGTAACATTTCTAGAAAAAAAAGAACCAATGGCCATAGCAACAAGGATAAATGCAAATAAAATTTAAGGCTCAGACTTAGGAACATTTTATGTGTATTTCTAACTTCTTTTTTTTGGTGTTTTTGAGATGGTATCTCCCTGTAGTCTCAGTTGGCCTAGAACTCACTAAGTAGACTAGGCTGGCTTTAACTCATAGAGCTCTGCCTGCCTCTGCCTCTGGAGTGCTGGGATTAAAGGTGTGTACCACCATGCCTGGTTGTATATTTCTAACTTCTAGGACAGACATTCAGTTAAGAGGGTACAAGAATATAAGTTTAACACTAACATTAAACCAAAAATTTTCTTGCTGTTGTGTCTTGTTTGCTTGATAAAGAATTTAGTAAAGCAAAAATGCACAGAAGTTTTCACCACTGCAAAGTTGGTGATTGATTACATAACTCATTTTACTCCTTTAAAACAATACATTCCCATAGTCTGTTCAATGCTTGTGGCAACTGATTAAAAGTTCTCTAAGAGCCGGGCGTGCTGGCGCACACCTTTAGTCCCAGCACTCGGGCAGGCAGAGGCAGGCAGATCTCTGTGAGTCCAAGGCCAGCCTGGTCTACATAGTGAGTTCCAGGACAGCTGGGGCTACAGGGAGACCCTGTCTCAAAAAGACCAAAAAAAATTCTCTAAGAAAGGTTATATAGGTCAAGTGAAATATGTTAAATCAAAATGTGTCATGTTCAATGTTGAATGAAGTATAAGGTTTGTAGCTGGCTCAATACCATTAGCAATTTTCTTTTCCATTTTATCTTCCCATATTAAAAATAAATATTAATGTATGTTAAATCTGTAAACACTTTCCCTCTTCTTCTCTCTAAAGACTTATACTGAGTTATTCAAACTGTGAGTTATTACATAATATAGTTATGCCTCAAATAGAAACTCTAAAGAGTTAGAATTGTTGCTTTTAATGGAATTAATTTTAGGTTTATCTAAGAAAATTATTTGGTACCTCAAATATTGATTTAAAATCGTTCTTATATGTCAGAAACCATTTGCAACGAACTTTTCCTTATGAATGACAACAAAAATACAGAGTATTTCTTTAACATTTAAAATGTTTCCAAATTCTAGCTTATAATAAACTGGCATAATTCTTATAGGATGACAGCATCCGTACACAGTATGAATTTGTACTTAAGATAGACATAGAGATTATTTGATTAATGAAATATGAAATATTATTTTAATTACTCTTCTGTAAAATCAAAAGAAATGAAAATCAACTCTGGCTTGCTGGATTTAAAAGCATTTTAATTCAGTAGCTTCTATAAATGTCCTGTTGTTTAACGGTGAGGAAATATTGTGTTACATATTGCTTCTTTTGTTTGTTTGTATGTTTTGTCTCTTTGGGTCTCCCGTTTGCCCCAGATAGCCTGAAACTCACTATGTAGTCCAGGTTGGCCTGGATCTCACCACGATCCATTTACCTCTGCCTCTGCCTCCTGAGTTCTGGGATTAAAGGCCTGCACCACCATGCCCAGGACCAAGTGTTACATAGCTGCAGTTGCTGCTGGGGTCTTTCTGCTTGGGGAGGGGGCATGAGTAGAAGAGATGGGCAATTTATAGATTTCTATGGATGATCTATTGGTCCTAAAGGTTTCACAAACTCCCAGTAGGACCATGGGCTGGCACCTCAACACATGGGCTTTACGTTATAAATTTCAAACAAGTAATTTTGATATCGTGAGATTTGAGGAGCGATCCAATGAAATCAGGAAAGAAACTTCTATTTGAGAATAAGCTCCAAGGAAAGGGAAGGGCAAGGGCAGAGGTCCTGAGATAAGGAAGCGCTTGAGGCCGATGTGAGGATGTGAGGAAGAGCCAGGAGAGCAGTGTGGATGGATCTGAATGAGTGAGAGAGAGAGGTAGCAAGGGGGAACCCCACAGATAGTAGTGAGGGAGGATGTGAGCCTGCATGACCATGGAATGAAAGAGCCTTCTGAGTGAGATGGGAAGTGACTGGGGTTCAGCTGGCCTTGCAGCTGTCACATCACATAAGATGGGTTGGGCCAGGGAGCGGTATCTGCTGAGGAAATCCTTCCCAGTAGAAGGCAAAGGAAGAGCAAGGGTATGATTATGGCAGTAAACTGGAACAGAGGAGGCTGGATGTGTAGCACAACACAAGTTTTCCATGCTCGCTAAGTCCTGAATATAAAAAGATCACACTACTGTTCTTGTACAGGTTGTTAAATTGGAACTAGTTTGTCCCAGTTTCAACAGAAGCCTGGAAGCAACAGATGGAACATTGAAGCAGGATAGCAGATTTCTCAGGACAGCCTCTGAAACCCTTAGCTCTCCCAGCCAGGCAGCCGCCTCCAGGTTACAGAATATCAGAGACCACTGATCATAGAGTTGGCATGGACAGCAGAATTTGTTTTTCTGGAGACAAAGCTATTCTATGGGTCTTACCTAGAAGAATGGGGCCATTATCCTCCCTCAAGCCCAGGTATAGAAACTTTGAGGAGGGTTAACCTGTGCCTGCTGCTACCCAAGGCACATAGCAGCTGGCATCTAAGAAATCTGAGGGGCAGAGCCTGGCTGTTCAGGTGCCTGGCTGTGCTGGGATTAGCTTGCACCCAGAGTTGGGGAGGAAGGCTCAGAGTGTTTACAGTGGGTTGGACCAGGGCTTTTCAGTCATGAATGAGGGAGCAAGGACAACCCAAAAGAACCAAGTAGAGAGCAAGTTACCCCCAGGCAGTAACTGAAGATTCCCAGGGTGGAGGAGGCACACTCAGGTATCAAAGGAACATATGGGATATCCTTGGGACTGTGAGTGATGGCACCACTTTGGAGAAGAGCTGCTGACAGTGGTCTCCAGCCAGGCTGTCCCCTGCCCTGCCTTTCCTCCTCCTCTTCCTCTGGCTTTCACACCCACCCTGGGAGAGTCAGAAACCACACTGGGTGGGCATCTCACTGCTGCAACTGTCAGCATGAAGTCAGTGCTGGGGAAGAAGAGAGGAGGCAGAGAAATTTGACTTTTCAACAAAGCATGGAAGTTTGGAGTTTTGAGCCTACTTTTTTTTTTTTTTGAGAATGCGTGGCACTTTTGATATCTAAGAGTGACCAGAAAAACTATGGGCTCCTGATCTGTCCAAGAACAAAGAAGCAGAACCCTCCCCACCCATAGCTGGGAGGTAGAGGCAAAGAGAAGCTTGCTTCTTAGTCCCTGTGGATGGATGACTTGTGCACAATAAGGATTGTCTAGCTGCCTCCAACAGGCTGCCTCCCTTACCAGGAGCTCCTAGTGTGGTATGAGACTTCACCCTCAGAGGAATGCACAGTAGGTTTGGATTGGCCCAAACTCCATCAAGTTTCATTTCTTCCTTTCCAGTTTCCTCAAATGGAGTGTACCAGTCACATGTTTGGTCACCATGACAGAAAAGCTTTAGGAAGGGAAGGTTTATTTGGGCTCATGGTTTCAGAGAGCTGAATTCATAGTTGCTAGGTAAAAAATCATGGTGCAGGGCTGGAGAGATGGATCAGCGGTTAAGAGCACTGACTCCTCTTGCAGAGGACCCAGGTTCGATTCCCAGCACCCACATGGCAGCTGCAAACCATCCTTAACTCCAGTTCCAGGGGAATCCGATGCCCTGTTCCAACCTCTGTGGCATTGCACAACATGGGTGCATTCACATATTTGCAGGCAATACACTCATACACATAAATTAATTAATTAATTAATTAATATATTTTTTAAAAATCATGGTTCGGGAGCTGTGGAGAGGAGTTTTTTCACTTCGCAGTGGACAGAAAGGAGACAGGGGAGGAGGATAAGATATAGACCCAAAGGACATGCCCCCAGGGACCTACTTCCTCTAACCAGACCTCACCTCCTAAATTTTTCAGAGCCTCCCAAAAGAGTGCCACCAGCTGAAGATCAAGTGAATCCATGAGTCTGTGGGGGACATTTCATATGTCTATCCTCCATTGGGTGTGATTCCAGGTGTGAGAGTGAAAGGGCAAAACTAACTCCATTTGGGTCTAGCTGACTTTTGCTTTACCCTGTGTTTTTGACCAGCCATTCCCACTGCAGTCAGCCAGGCAGAACATCTCATGTTGTCAGTTTCAGAGAGTACACTGTTTTTACAATACTGGGGAACTAACCAGTAGCCATGTAGCACATCCTTCCTCCCAGCTATGCCTGCATCTCCATGGAGCCCATTGTTTCTACAATTCTGAGAAACTTGTTTTTTTAATCAAAACATTTTGTTAACTGAAAACCTCTTTGTTAACTGACCTGCCCCTTGGTCTGGTGTAACTATGGTGATCTGATGTAGCTATGGTTATTGGCTTTGCCCCTGGCATGATGTAATTGTATTTTTAAGCTTTATAAACCCTGGCCTGCTTCTCCTCAGAATCAAGAGTTCTTTTGGACATTAGCCACCTCTTTTACCACTGGCTACTAATAAAGGACTCATCATTCAATGATCACTGTGTAGAATACTTCTGTGCCTCTCGTTCCATATTACAAGAGGTTAGTGGTCATCCTCTGCCCACAGCTGAGCCCTTGGGGTTTTCAGGTGAGACCTGTGGTAGTCCAGACCCGGCACTCAGCTGAGAACTAATGAAACTTTAGAGACAAGGGAGCCTTCTTCCAAAACCCATTGTCTTGGTGTGTCTTTGAGATTTTTGCTTTCTCACTCAACTGCCATAAATACATTAGTTTTTTTTTGTTTTTTTTTTTAATGTGTCTCCCAAAGTTGACCTTTGTGTTCCACTGCCAGCTAAGCTAGTGCTTCCTTACTGTGTGACAGCAATTTTAAATCTCCTCTCTTCTCACCTTTGCACCCAGGAGCTTGGACTGCTTTGTGATACTGAAGTATCTCTCTGGGCACGTACAGAAGGACAGAGAATGCAGATGGGTATGCATCAAAGGTGGAGCAGCATCGCTCCCTGTCAACTGTGGTCTTGTTGCTACAGCATTACCCTCACTCCAGGTTGTGGGAACTTGCTATGTCCCCGAGAGTCCCTGTTTCCACAGGGGCACTAATGGGAGGCACATGACAACACAGGCTCAGTGCCAGGCTTGTTCACCCATGGGTCCCCAGAGTGTCTCCCGAGCCTGCTAATTCCTAGACACCTCCCACCCCCACCCCCATGTCGGCCTCGTAGCTGCATCACTGCTTTCTGGCTTCCTGGACTATAAGTCCTGCTTTCTTTTTTTTAATTAATTTTATTTTATTTTATGTGTATGAATGTTATGCCTGCATGTATGTAAGTGCACCCATGTCACACAGTGCCATGGAGGAAGAAGAAGGCATTGGATCCCCTGGAACTGGTGTTACAGATGGTTTTTGGCTGCCATGTGCTGGGAACTGAACTCCTCTCCAAGAGCAGCCAGTACTCTTAAATGTCGAGCCACCTCTTCAGCCCCAGGCCCTGCTTTCTCATGACTGCAGCATTTGCCTGATGCCAACCCCTTGGGCTCTGCTTCTCTTATGACACCCAGGGTCCTTGGGCTCAACAACTCAGGGTCAAGGAGGCCACAGGATCTTCCAACCCAATTTCTGTTTCTGAATCTCTGGTCATCCCTATTCAGTTGTAAGGCCTCAGCATCTTGAGCTGAGGACAAAGTTGCTGAGTTTTTGTTAGATAAGATGGAAACATAGCTAGAGGATGAAAACAAAATCATCTGGTGTTCTGAGCTATGAGCCAAACTAGAAGAGCATTCTGGAAACTAGGTCAGAACTTTGGCAGAAGTCTTTGGGTTTGAGCGTATAGCCACTGCCACCACATACCGGGCATGGCAGGGTCATTAAACATTATTTGGAGGCTCAATAAAGACTGCAATATGTTATAATTAGAGATTGTTTTTTCGTACTGATAAAATTTTTTGAACAAGAAAGAGAAACTGTGTTGTTTAGTCTGGTGGAAATCTCACTTTTGGATTATTAAAACAATCATCGTGTGTGTATGTGTGTGTGTGTGTGTGTGTGTGTGTGTGTGTGTGTTTGTAGAGTTCTGAATCTCACAGGTTGCTGGCATGGGAACAGTTCTCTGGATATGTGAATGAAATGATGTCACGTTTGCCAAACAACACAGAGGGAACGAGGGAGCCTGTCTTGCAGTATGCTCAGTATGATGATTCTTTCTGCAGAATGGCCCGCCGGCATTCCTTGGCTTTCTCTTTATGGAACAAAACTCCAGTCCTAGGTAAGGCCAGCTGTTCCTCCAGAGGGAGAGGTCAGGTCCACAATGGGAGGCTGCTGCAGGCCCATGAGGACAAAAGGTAGTAAGTCTGGGTTGGGAGTTCATAAGATTTTCCAGAAGTTTCCAAGGGCTTTTTCTCAACTCTAAATGCTGGGGTCCAGGCAAAGTAACAGTGGCTGGGCCAGCAGCTCTCTCTCTCCACAGTGGAAAGGTGCTAGGCAGAAAAGCTGGGGCCTCTGGGCACTTCCTCCTTCTTTAGCACCAGGCAGGCACTGAGAGTGCCCTCTTGCACGTGGGGCACAGGCCTGGGGTTTGCCCCCCTCCAGCGAGATTAAATGACGTTTCCCCCTTCTTCTTCCCAATCCCTCTTCTTCCTCACATTCTTCCTTCTCTTTGCTGTCTCTTCCTCTTCCTTTTCCTCCTCCTTCCCCCTCTCCTCCTCTTTCCTCCTCCCCTGCCATGCAGTGCCCTGCTTTGGTGTCCTGAGGAGAAGACAGCAGCAGCCTGCATTGCACGACAGCCCAGCCACAGGCCGACAGGCTGCTGAGGTCTTCAAGCCAACAGGGAGGAACAAAGTCACATCTCCTTTACTCTCTAACGCCAGGGTATGGGCAGAGCTTCCCAGCTCTGCACAAATTGGGTTAGCGGGGCATTGATTGATTCCCTCAGCCCTTGGGCAGCTGAGTGGGGTCCAGAGGCCCCTCTGTCACACCTACCGTATCCACTATGGTGAGTGTCTTCTGCCAGGGGCTGTTCTAATCCAGCGGGATGGTAGGAAGGGATCCAGCTAGGGCTGCTGAGTGTGTGGCATGCCTCAGGGTCAATCTGTGTTTTGTCCTAAGTCACTAGTGAGCACATGAAGTTGATGTCCCCAAAGTTCTAACTGCTCTGGAATCCTTCCTGGCTGCCTTTGGGTTTCCTGTTTTTACCACACAGAGCTCTGCCTCTGTACACATGGCCTTTCCTCATCTGGCCTCAGCTCAGACTCAGAATGGAGAAGCAGTTGAGGGAGCATGTGGGGAGCCCTTCAGCCTGAGTCATCACAGGAGGAGCCTCATGATGGTGTCCAAAGAGTCCAGAAGTGACAGCCACATTCAGGGAGGTTTTACAAAGCAACAGTTCCCAGCATACATGCACACACACACACACACACACACACACACACACAAACACATGCACACAAATACATACACATACACGTACTTAAACATATACACATACATACTTAAACACACATTCACACATACACATGCATACTTAAACACACATATACACATACACATACACATGTACGCACACTAAAACACACATACATACACATATACACACACACACACGCACCTAAATGGAGGAATATTTTTTAATTACAATGTATCAGACTTTCTAAGCAAGAGCTTTAGTTTCCCCACTGGCAATCTTCAGACACCTAGGGAATATTAAATGCTAGGTTAAGTCTTCTTTTATTGTTTGTTTTTTCCTACTATGAAAACCTGTGTATATATTGCACACATTGCCCTTGGAAGTGTATGTTATAGGATGCAAATAACAGAGTCAAGTGTTGGCTGTGGGAATCCTGGTGCTCAGACAAGGTGGCTGATGTGGCTAGCATGTGATTGAGCAGTATGAGTACCTGCCCTCCACACCTGCATAGAGGCTGCTCATCTGTGCCCCCGACTGCCTACTTTTTGCTGATCTGGTCATTAGATGTGTGGGCAAGCATTTCACCCTCCCACCTCGACTACCACGCTTGGAATTTCCAGAGGCTAGTCAGTCACGCTCAGGGCCTGGCCACCGCCTGTTTCCAACAAAAGATGTTCATACATTTCAGTTTCACCCCGTGCTAAGGGATGTAACCACTGTCACAGAGAAATGAGCAGTTTGAGGATGTAAAAGCAAAACCAGAATAATATTTGAAACTAACAAATGCTTGCTAAAGTTGTAAGAATCCTGAGAATCCAGGGACTTTTTGTTTGTCTTCAATTCCTCAAGGTCTAGGAGGACACTTTCTCTTCTTACTGGTGTTCTGGCCTTGGCCTTGTGACATATGGTCCCACTTCCCTTGTGCACTACAGTGCCCCTTGCACACGGCAGGGTCAGGCTGGAGAAGGAAGCTGGTGTTGAATGCAAATTCCACCACAGAGGTTCTCCTAGCAACAAAGCAACTATAACAAAGCATAGTAACTTTTTGTGTCTAGCTTTATAAAGCCACGAGGCCATTAGTCTCACCAGGACGTTCAAAGGCTGTTCTGCAAGTGAAGAATGATTTCTAGCCAAGGCATTGAAATCAGAGCTCCTGGATGCCTCTTCTTCAGCTTACACAGATCTAAGAAGGCAGATGGCAAATTTTTATCTGAGTTTCAGGACATACCCTAGGGCTGCTGGGTGGAGGGAAGATGGGGTAGGAAAGTTCTAGAGCAGGTTCTGGTTTGTGAACTACCTCTGCACCACTAGGCGAGTGACTTTAACTCTAGATCTCCCTCATCATCTTTACAGCAATGCATGGGGCTCGCTATAAATGCAGATTGTGGGTTTCCACTTGTCAGTGCAGCTGGGTCTCTGGAGCTGGGCTCCCACACATAACTTTAACCCAGGGCAAAGTTTTAAAGGAAATTTCATATCACCTGAGTTCTTAACTGTTTGCATATTCTTAGGTAACAATATGGTTCCTTTTACTTTGGTAATAAACGTGTTCACATGCTTCATGGAAAGGAGGTTTATGATTCTGGAAGTGTTTAACCTACATCCAAACCTGTGCCTAAATTACATAGTCTTTGGAGTGGATCTAGGAAACTATGTCTAAGTTTTCTGGGAAGTTTTCTTTTGAGTCAGTCATTAAGGGTTGTATACCAATTGTGAATAATGGGAAGTTAAATGAGAGAAATGACTGTGTATATCTCAGACTCCTCACTGGTAACTAAGAAACTTATGTAACTATTTCTCTGAAGTAGTTAAGGAAGATTAAATGTCACCTGACTTAATTGTTTGCACATTCTTAGGTAGCTATATGGTTCCTTTCTCATTAGCAATAAAAGTGCTCATATGTGTCATTGTGCTGGATAGATTTAGCTGTCAACCTGACACACTTGGGTAGAGGGAGTCTCAATTAGGGAATTGCCTCCATTGGACTGGCCTGTGGCCTTGTCTGTGGGGCATTTTCTTGATCACTGAGTGATGTGGGAGGGCCCAACCCGCTGTGGGTGGTGCGACCCCTGGGCCAGGGTCCTGTACTGTATAAGAAAGCAGGCTAATCAGGGGCCAGGTGAGCAAGCCAGTAAGCAGCGTTCCTCCATGGTCTGTGCTCCAGTTCCTGCCTCCAGGTTCCTGCCCTGAGTTCCTGCCTTGGCTTCCCTTGATGATGAACTGTGCTGTAAGCCAAGTTGGTTTTGGTCAGAGTGTTTTGTCACAGCAATTGCAAACAAACCAGAACAGCCATGGAATGAAGGTTTTATAAAGGACAAACTCACTGCCTTGCCCTTTTTTTCTGCTTTTACTTGACTACTGTCTACAAAAAACTCCATAATACATCACCCATCCAAATTTATTTTATTTTTTAAAAAATATTTTATTATTTTTATTTTTTATGTGTATGAGTGTTATGCATGCATGTAGGTAAGTGCACCCATGACATGCAATGCCGGTGAACTGGAGTTACAGACAGTTGTTAGCTGCCACATGGGTGCTGGGATTCAAACCCTGTTTTTTTGCGAAAACAGTCAGTGATCTTAACTGCTGAGCCATCTCTCTAGCCCCTTACCCATGCAAATTTTTTAAAATGAAGAAAAGAAATACTTTTTGAGCATATATTCAAGCATACTTCCTTCAAAAATATTTACTATTTGAGGCTTGGGAGAGAGCTTGGTGGGTAGACCAAGGACCTGAGTTCAGATGCCCAGCACCCACAGAAAAGCCAGGCAATCTAAAGCTGACCATGGCAGTGCAAGCCTCTAGCCCCAGCACTGCTAAACAGAGACAGGAGGATCCCTGGGGCTGTCTGGCCAGCCAGTCTATCTACAGTGACCAGCCCAAGGTTCAGTAAGAGGCCATGTGTCAAAAATTAAGATGGAGACACCTGAAATCAACTGCAAGCCTCCACATGCTCATGTATGGGCAAGCTCACCAACACATAAATGTACACACACACATTCACTACACACATACAACATAAAAAATTGATATTTAACATCTGTATTTACATGCTCTACTGAGCTTTACCATATTACATTTAATATTAACATGACAATTATAAAATATGAATAATAAATATTTTAAAGAAAAATGAAAATAACATTTTAAAAATTTAATTACTGAAAATCTCAGTTTAGTGCTTTGTGGCATAGCAAAATCAGATGTAATTTTTTGTGTTGATTTTGAGGTCACGGTATTTAGGATTCTCCATAGACATGAGTAGACTCAAGTACAAGTGGCTTCCTAAAACCATACTTACAAAACTATTACCCTGATTTTTAAGTTATTCACTAAGTATACCTGTGTCTTACTAGCTAGAAAATTTACATTTTTCTGGATGTCAAGTTGTTGTTATTGCAATTTAACTGGAATATATGACATCTTAAATGTTTCTAATACATTGAAAACACGACAAAATTCTACATACAAATTTTCATTTTGGGGATTTGTATGCATACAGATAAGAAATTTTTGCATTGTTCTTAAAAATGTAAAACAGGAATATCTGAACTATCATAGGCTACTCTGGGTAAAAAGTCATCAGGGGTCTTACTCAACTGTGAACTTTGTGAGCTGCAATAACAACTGACTTGACAAGATATGTCCATGGGAGCAATAGTGGCACAAATGTTATGTGGGTAACCAACTGCTTTCTTCTTGGATTAAGGCCAGCTTCACAGATGGAAATGCATGCCTGACGCTGTAATTCTGACCCAGACCCTGTGGTTGGGAAGCTCATAGGCCCCAGAGGTAAACCTACTACTATTATCCTGCTAAATTCTGTCTAAATTTGTATCTCCGTACCCTTGGTTTAGTGCAGCTCTCAAATCTAATCAGAGAGGTTTCAGTACCCAATGAATGGTGGTTAATGCAGAAATTCACAGCTATTCAAATTATAGAGCATGTGTCCATGGAGTACTCAGCCACAAATGGGACACCTATATCATAGCCCCCCCCACCCCCCAGGGCTCAGGGAACATCATGGAAGAGGGGCCTGAAAAGTTGTAAGAGCCAGAGGTCTGAGAGGACTGGAACAAAACAGTGTCTTCTGGACATGACAGGACCACTGCACTCATGAATTCACAGACACTGTGGGTGCCTCACAAGACCTGAATAAGATCAAGTCAGTCAACATTCCAACATGGAGGGGAGAGGGGCTCACAAGCCCCACCCCTGGCTAAGAAGCTATTAACAGTTTATGGCTACTAGGGGAGGGAGAGTCAGTTTTCTTTAAGAATTTGGCCCCTGGTAGTCAAACATACTCCAGTGAGTGGCCCCATACCCAGGAGTATTTGGGCAGCACAAATTGGATTCCATAGGTTGTAAAAATTGAATAAATAAAATAAAGAGGAAAGGAAGTTGGGAGGGGCAGGGAAGGGGGGGTGGATCTAGGGGAAGTTAGGAGACGAGTGTGGGGTAAATATGAGCAAAATACATTGTATGCATCCATGAAATTCTCAAAGAGCTAATAATATATAGTTAAAATTACTGTTTTCTTCCAGCATGGATGGGGGAAGGGCTCATGAGGACCCACTCCTGAGGAGCTGTTGGGGAGGGAGTTAATTTTCTTCAGGAATGTAGCCCCTGGTAGGTTGCCCGTGTTCCAGTGGACGACCCCACACCTGCAAACATATGGATAGTGCTGATTGGACTCAGTGGGTTTAAAAAAGAGGACATGAAATTGATTTGAAGGGGATGTAGTGGGAGTACTCTGGCAGGAGCTGAATGGATGAGTGGGAAGTGGATATTATCAAAACACATTATATACATGGATGGAATTCTCAATAAATAAAAAATGTTTTTAAAAAGAATTTTCTCTCCCATTTTAACATTATTTTCTCACTTTTATTTTAAATTAACAGGTTAAACCCAGATTTGAAAATATCTGCTGGAAATCAGCCACAATGAAAATCAGCAAATTGGAGCATGCATGTTCATAAAAGAATATCAAGTCTCTCAAGTTCGGTACTGTGAACTTCCAGGAGACAGTTACAAAGCTCTCAGGACACAAAGGATTTTCCTGGCCATGCTCCCTCCATGAGCACTCTACTTCTATACATTATAATCTATAAAAGCCAGTAGCATGTAAAACATGCTAAACATTATGTGGCTCTCAGGTTTAACTCTTATTGTACAGTAACTGACATCCATGTGGCTGATGCTGTTGGAGGAAGGGCGTTGGGGGACCTGTCTGTATCTCCTCCCATGTTTTCATTTTTAATTCTGTAAACTCTCTGCTCTTAGAGTGGCTGCACTCTGGTATATGTGCACAGAGGTTGCACATATGCATGCATGGAGGCCAGAGGAGGATGTCAGGTGTCTTTCTCTGTCACTCTCTGCCTCATCTTTTATAGACAGGGTCTCTCACTGAACCTGGAGCTAGGTCAGCAGCCAACAAGCCCTAGTGACCCTCCTGTTTCCACCCCTCATGACACTAAGATTACAGGTGCACATGTGGCCACACCCAGGATTGAATGGATGCTGGGATCTGAACTCAAGTCCTCATGCTTGTGCAGCAAGAACTCCCACCCACTGCACCATCTCCCCAGCTGCCCATTTCTTTATAATTTTAAGATAGTCATTAACTGTTGACTCTATGACTTTCAGAATAGCTTTTTCTTGGCAGGTCATATGAAATTATGTCTTTATGAATTTCACTATTTAGCAGGATGATAGATGCTTGGTCGTGCTGGGACCATCTCAGCTCACATTCACTCAGCACAACACTTCACTGATAGCGCTGCCTTGTACCTTCTGGAGGACTTTCAAGTTTCCACTATTGTTTTATATAAATGATTTCTTGATTTTAGCTGCAGTGCTTTCTATAATCATATAGTTTCTGTTGGAGAAGAAAGAGTGACTTCTAAGTATGGGTAAATATTTCATAAGATATTTTAAAGTCCTGGGCTGAGAATCACATTTTATATTTCAAATGAAACCAGAGGTTTATGTTTATACTCTGAAGCCCTTCACTTCAGATCACATTCCACCACGGCACAGGATCATTTGGAATCAAAAATGGATGTAAAGAGCTGATGTTCAAGGAGTTCTCAGGGAACTGCTGAAAAACAAACTAGGTTCATAGAAAGAACGCAAAGATAGAACAGAGAATCCCTACACACCCAAGTGTTCGAGCTTCATTTCTGTTGCTCTGACAAATACCCTGAGCAAAAACAGCATGGGAAGGAAAGGGTTTATTTGACTTCTAATTCTGGGTTACAGTCTGCCACTGCAGGAAAGCTGAGGGAGGAGCTAAAAGCCATCATAGCATATCAGCAGTCAAAGCAGAGAGGAAGGAATGTGCACATCTGCCCCTTGCCTGCTTTCATCTAACTTTCCCGTTTTTCACAGTCCCCCTGCTTAGGGACTGGTAGCACCCACAGTTGGTTGGGTCTTTCTTCACACATTAGTTAGCAATTGAGACAGTTTCCCACAGACATGCTTAACAGGCCAAACTGATCTAAAGAATTTGTCACGAGACCCTCTTCCCAGGTGATTCTTTGTTGTGTCAAGTTGACAGGTAAACCTAACTAGATCACACAACCTTCCCTAATGTTATCTTACATAAACATGGTATACTTATCAAAACTAGGAAACTAATATTAGGGTGATGTTATTACCTAAACTCCAAGCTTTCATTTCTATTTCTTTAATTCTTCCATTAATGTCTATTTTCTGTTGCAGTTTCTGATTCAAGACAGTTTGTTGCCAAAATAGCCAATAGTCAATGCTGTCTAATAATTCTGTGAAAATTTGTTTAGTTAAAACTAATTTTAGCATTCTAGTTCAACAAGAATGAGCAAGCTACAAAAGATTACATTGAAACTGAAGATGTCGGGCCGGTGAGATTGTACAGTGGATAAGGTGCTTGCCACCAAGCCTCACGACCTGGGTTTCATCCCCAGGACCCGCATGGTGGAAGGAGCGAACCGACTCCAGCAACTTGTCCTCTGAGCTCCACATGTGCACTGTGGCACGTACATGCTCATATACAAATACACATATGTACATACATACATACATACACATGTATATACACATATATACATACACACAAAAATATAATTAAAACATTTAAAAATAGAAAGCTGAAGGTGTTTGTACTGTGAATGGGGTCCTTCATGGAGGCTGTGTCTTCTAGTGTACTTGAAATGAGCTAGTCTGGCTGGTAGTCTGAGGAAACCAACCACAAAGTGTCTAGGAAATACTGGGGGCTCCTTATTGTTTCCTTATTTTTCTCTTATTAGACATGGCCATAAGTCTCTGTGGGAGTCCACAGCAAATGTCTTGCTATATCCGTTGCAGTGGATATCATCCCCCCCCCAACCCTCCATCTGTCTTGGAGATCACAGATCTGTTGTAGTCTCAGTCTGTGGTTAGCCTGAGAATCCTCTACTAATATTAATAAGGGCAAAACAAGCAAGCTAAGCAGTCTCAATGTCTTGCTCTACTGGCCAGTTCTCTGTCCTCCTGCATTAGTAAACAGTTTCTTAAGTCACCTATTAAGGCAGTTGGCTGGTGTGAATGAACTTACTGAGGAAGCACTGCCGGAGACCATCCCTCAATGGACTGTTGAAACTTCACCTACTTTTGTGTTGGTAACATAGCAACATGGGTGATTTGGAGACAGCCCTTAATTCCCATCATAATTGCTATCCTTCTCTGTGATTGGGCTACCTTCATGCTTCTATCCAGACTGGAAACTTAAAACTTAAGAACTACACTGTTCCTGTCTAGAAATTACAACAGATGTAGCAGATTCAGCAATGTGCTACCTGGCTCCTTTTTAGGAAGGAGGGCTCTGAACCTGAGCTGTTGGGGTGCTGCTGGAAGCAGGCTGTCACAGGTCAACCCACTTTGAATGTTTTCTCATCAGAAGAGAACCATCTCCCACAGGCTCTGCCTCCTTCCAGGAAAACATGCACCAGTGGCTGATAACCACAGATATGAAGTGACCTGAGATGTTTACTGAGTATTCTGGTTAGTTTTTGTCAACTTGACACAAACTAGAGTCACTCAGAAAGAAGGAACCTCAACTGAGGAATTTCCTCCACTAGACTGGCCTGTGGACATCTCTGCAGAGCATTGTCTTGATGACTGGTTGATGTCAGAGGGCCCAGCACACTGTGAGTGGTGTCATGTGTCATCCTGGGCAGGTGGGCCTAAGATGTGTAAGAAAAGTAGCTGAGCAAGCTAGAGGAAGCAAGGTAGTAAGCTATGCTCCTCCATGGTCTCTGCTTCGGTTTCTGCCTTAAGTTCCTGCCCTGACTTCCCTCAATGAGGGACTCCAATCAGAAAGTGTAAGCCAAACAGACCTTGCCACACCCCTAAATTGGTTTTGGTCAGCGCTTCATCACAGCCTCAGAGAAGCAACCTAGAACACTGAGGTTCAGAGAATTTACCGCTCTTCAGCTTCTCCCCACTTGCTGTCCAGTCTTATGTCCTTTCCTTCTGCACAGCTTTTACTTCAAGAGTAGCCCTTAATACTGTAATCACCACTCAGAGTCCTCTTCACAGGGCTGCGGGTGGAGCTAAGCAGTAGAGAATCTGTCTAGCATGTATGAAGCCCTGAGTTCTTTCAGGTGGAGGGGAGAGAAGAGAAAAGGGAGAAAAAGGAGGAAGAAGGAGCAAGGGAGTAGGAAGAGGAAGAAGAAGATAAAGAGAGAAAAGAAAAATTGCATTCCAGAAAAGCACTCCCTTGCAAGTAGTTAAAATCCAAACAGTACAAATAGTGTGCAAAGGAAACTATGTATTTGTGAGCCTATGTATGCTTCCAAGACAGCTTTTTGTGCTAGTGTGCTTGTGTGCATGTAAAATTGTGTGTATAAAATTATGTATGTGTGGGGCTGGAGACATGGCTCAGTGGTTGAAAACACTGGCTACTCTTTCAGAGGACCCAGGTTCAGTTCCCAGCACCCACATGGTGGCTAACAACCATTTGTAAGTCCAGCTCCAGGGGAATCTGATGCCCTCTTCTGGCCTTCATGAGCATTGCACAACATGGGTGCACATATGCATGTAAGCAACACACTCATACACATAAAATAAAAATAATAAATAAAATATTTTTAAAATTATATATGTGTATTTTTGCCCATTTTACACATTCTCTTATAAAATTCATAGTACATACTTTTGTTGTTTAGACTTTATTTTTACATACTGATACATAAAGATTTAACATTATGGCCTAATATTAATATACCATAGAGGTGCCAGCTATTTGCTAGGTGCTGTCGTGTCTCTATTTCAGCACATACTTATAGAATATCTGTCATGTTCGAGGCTGGTTTAGGTGCTTAGGACATTAACTTCACTTTAAGAGCTAGCTGACTTACTATTAGTTCTATGTTACAGGTATGAAAATTGACATTTAATTAACATGCCAAAATCACATGAACAGTACAGGGTGAGACCAGGGTTCACAGTAACCAGTCCCCACTAGTCCACCCCACAAATTACAGATTAATTGTGTCAGACTCCTCTTGATGCAGCCAGCCTGCATGCAATGGTGGATATTATAAATGATGCAGCGTTTATGAGTTTTCCTTTTATCCTTGGGTGCTGTCTATCCAGTTTTGAAAGGGATTGAAAAAGGGGAATGGAGTCATTATTTAACAGATGCCTGTTGGTACTAGGTCTTAACTGAACCATTTGCAAAGGTGACTTTCTTCAAAATTAGGGCTTTAAGGAATCAAAAGATACTGCATTCCATTCCTAATATGAAATTCTTAGGTCAAGCCTCTGAGATGTGTCCCTGTGGCCCGTGTGTTGAATGTGCATTTGTAGATAGGGTAATACCTGGATTACCATTCACAGAGTCTCTGGTGGGAAGTGGAATGTTTTTTATTGAAATTGCCCTGCTTGAGTATCTGGAAGAAATGACAGCAGCTCTATACCCTGGGTCTGGTTTTAATCAGAGAACATCTTTATGAGACAACATAAAACTAAAAAGATTTTCTTCAGCTGATCAATCCAAAGAAAAAATATTTGTTCAAAAATGATACAAACCAATGAGCTTTAGACGATGGATGAGAAAAAGACACAGACTGCAGCAGGAGAATTAGGAGGTGCCGGGGCATTACACAGGGAGGAAGGTGAACCACAATTCCCTGGGCCATTTCTCAGTATGGTGTAAGAGCTGGATTTGTTGAACAACAAAAATTCAGTTTGGAGGAAATCAGATAACTCCCACTCAGTCAAGAGGGAATGTAACACACTACTGAAGGAATTAGAGACCCACCATATGTCCCATGCACCATCTGCCCCTTAAGTAGATATTTCATCCTCTTAAGGGAATCTTCTAGTTCTGGTCAAAGATTCATCTGATATTCGATGATTTAATGTCTGTATAATTTACATTTCTCTGTAGAGATTCCTTCAATGTTCATATTTTCACTTATTAGGATATTTCACTAATGGGTGAGTGGGTAATTGGCGTGACTCCAGATTCCTTGTTGAGATTTAAGCCATTTTCATATAGTGTTGGTTATGGTGGGAATCATAAAATCTTAATCTTCCACAAGCTACAGAACTGTTAGTGGGTTTCTAGGCAATATTGTTCCATGTAAATACTCAGTGGAATATATTTTTCATTAACTACGAAAGTGGTGCAAGTATGTTTTATACCAGGTGTGCTAACTTGACTGTTTCCTGAAGTGTGCATAATTTTAAAACTAATCTAGTCCTCTTTTATGTTTTTTCATGAATTTTAACTTTCTTTTCAACAGCTGTAATGAGTCACCTATGGAGAATAATAACTGGCAAGGAAAAGCCAATAAAAGTATAAAGAAAGGAAAAAGTTTCAGAGAAATGTGATTTACCAAATGATGCGCAGTACACTTCCCCCTCTACCAAAGTGTCCCATCTTAAATTCATTCTGGAATGCCTCATTTGGTGCTTATTTATGTCAGTTTCATAGAAGAACTATGTCAGGAAGGTTAAACGAGTAAACCAAGGTCTGCCTTAAAATCCATCCTCGAGTTACATGCATCTCTTTCATG